CTGCCTGATTGGACCTTGTTTTCACACAAATGAACCCAGAATGATGTGAAATTGTGCTTCGTGCAACATAATTCTGGGTGCCATTTAAAAACAATTAGTGCTAATGACTCCATTCCTGTTTGTGGTTGTAGGGGCTGTTGATTGGAGTACACTAAAACAAACCTGATCTCTCTAGGACTTTCAGAAGCCAAGTTATAAGCCCAAAAATGTGTAACTGGACTACTTCTTTAAACTGACACCAGGCCCGGTGACCTTTGGGACATGGTTTGACCCCCTATAGGAATGTGCGATCATCATGAAATGTTCAGATCACTTACAACTCAATAGATTCTACCTTCTTGTAACGTTTCAGCCTGATTGGACCTTGTTTTCACACAAATGAACCCAGAATGATGTGAAATTGTGCTTCGTGCAACATAATTCTGGGTGCCATTTACAAACCATAAGTGCAAATGACTCCATTCCTTTTTGTGGTTGTAGGGGCTGTTGATTGGAGTACATTAAAACAAACCTGATCTCTCTAGGACATTCAGAAGCCAAGTTATAAGCCCACAAATGTGTAACTGGACTACTTCTTTAAAGTGACACCAGGCCCGGTGACCTTTGGGACATGGTTTACCCCTTATAGGAATGTGCGATCATCATGAAACGTTCAGATCACTTACAACTCAATAGATTCTACCTTCTTGTAACGTTTCAGCCTGATTGGACCTTGTTTTCACACAAATGAACCCAGAATGATGTGAAATTGTGCTTCGTGCAACATAATTCTGGGTGCCATTTAAAAACCATAAGTGCAAATGACTCCATTCCGTAATGGGGGCTGTTAATTGGAGTACTCTAAAACAAACCTGACCTCTCTAGGATATTCAGAAGCCAAGTTATAAGCCCACAAAGGTGTAACTGGACTACTTCTTTAAATTGACACCAGATCCGGTTACCTTTGGGACATGGTTTGACCCCCTTAGGAAAGTGCTATCATCATGAAACGTTCAGATCACTTACAACTCAATAGATTCTACCTTCTTGTAACGTTTCTGCCTGATTGGACCTTGTTTTCACACAAATGAACCCAGAATGATGTGAAATTGTGCTTCGTGCAACATAATTCTGGGTGCCATTTAAAAACCATAAGTGCTAATGACTCCATTCCTTTTTGTGGTAATGGGGGCTGTTATTTGGAGTACTCTAAAACAAACCTGACCTCTCTAGTATATTCAGAAGCCAAGTTATAAGCCCACAAAGGTGTAACTGGACTACTTCTTTAAAGTGACACCAGGCCCGGTGACCTTTGGGACATGGTTTGACCCCCTAATGGAATGTGCGATCATCATGAAACGTTCAGATCACTTACAACTCAATAGATTCTACCTTCTTGTAACGTTTCAGCCTGATTGGACCTTGTTTTCACACAAATGGACCCAGAATGATGTGAAATTGTGCTTTGTGCAACATAATTCTGGGTGCCATTTACAAACCATAACTGCTAATGACTCCATTCCTTTTTGTGGTTGTAGGGGCTGTTGATTGGAGTACACGAAAACAAACCTGATCTCTCTAGGACATTCATAAGCCAAGTTATAAGCCCCTAAATGTGTAACTGGACTACTTCTTTAAATTGACAACAGATCCGGTGACCTTTGGGACATGGTTTGACCCCCTTAGGAAAGTGATATCATCATGAAACGTTCAGATCACTTACAACTCAATAGATTCTACCTTCCTGTAACGTTTCTGCCTGATTGGACCTTGTTTTCACACAAATTAACCCAGAATGATGTGAAATTGTGCTTCGTGCAACATAATTCTGGGTGCCATTTACAAACCATAAGTGCTAATGACTCCATTCCTTTTTGTGGTTGTAGGGGCTGTTGATTGGAGTACACTAATGACTCCATTACGTAATGGGGGCTGTTAATTGGAGTACTCTAAAACAAACCTGACCTCTCTAGGATATTCAGAAGCCAAGTTATAAGCCCACAAATGTGTAACTGGACTACTTCTTTAAAGTGACACCAGGCCCGGTGACCTTTGGTACATGGTTTGACCACCTATAGGAATGTGTGATCATCATGAAACGTTCAGATCACTTACAACTCAATAGATTCTACCTTCTGTGTACACGGCGAGGGCTCCCGAGTTGTGAGCTACATCGGCCGTACCTATAACAGAGGCATTTGTGAAAGACAGACGAGTGAAATTGGAATACGAAAACAGCTGTTCCGTGTATTGTCACGTCGCGAAAAAGACATCTCGCGCTGACGCACACTGTGGACGACGCGCGGGATCAATGCTTGTCCTCTGTCACGGTTAAAGCGCGAGGGCTGGCGGCGTTCAAGAACATGAGATCGCCGTGCGATTACGCCGTGACGGATACGTTCATAGCGTGTGTGATGAAAGGCTTCTGTGTAAGGTTGGAACGCGACAACGTGTCTTGTTTTTCTACGGTACCGTGGCACGAACTTCGCATCGGAGACGTGATATTGTACCTGCGAGAAAAGCCCATGTTCGACGATGCCAGTAGATGGCTCGCGTAGTCTGCGTGCCAGCTCGATCGAGTTGGTATCTAAATTTAGGTTTACGATTCCTGTAGATCTTGGGCGGCTGTGTTTGCAACATCTCGTCTGTCGTTTGATAATCTCTGGTTATGGACTTCCGCGTTGCCATCACATCGCTCGCATCTCGTTGAGCTCGTTCATCTTCTACTCGCCTGATCGTATCGTAGTCGGTCTCGGCAGAATCCACAGTCCCCATCGTCACACAGAAGCGCAGGAGATGTGGTATGTTGTCGTAGGTGTACACGGTGGACGTTTTGCTAGGTTTGAGAATATAGCCCGTGCGCTCTTCGTCGGCTTGTATCGTGTGCATTTCCGTGGTGTGTTTGGTTTTAATGAACAGATGGAACGAATCCCATGAGGTGCCGGGTGTCAACACAACATAGCCTGGTTTCTGAGCTTCCATAAAACAAACCATGTTAGTCTTGTCCGGACAATAGGGAATACCGCACCGCAAGACACCAAGCCGCCACAACGACAGTCTACCCATGTGGTCGTCACATTCAGGCGTCTTTTGCTTGACTGCACCTCGTCACCTATACACTGTGCGGCAACGCTAGATGCGTGTGCTGGTCAAGATACGTTGGACTTTTTCTCGGAGCCGATTCTTGTCCGTTGAGTCTATCGGCCATAGCTGAATTAGTTCAATCGCTAGTTTACACCCAACTAGGTATGCACGGTGTGTCGTCTTTTCAACAACATGACGCGTATGCGCTTGGTGTCTTACTCGTGAGATATCGAAATGAGTACAGTGTATAGGATCGGGCAGGGTCACCGGGTGACGAGGTGAATGAAAAACCTACTCCACCAGTTCTGTTTAATGCTCACGGATACCGTCAGCTCGTCACGGTCCTGGTCGACTAACCACTGTGCGTTGAGCATATCCACATGTTCCCTTAAGCGATAGCAAGCGTGCTCATTTGCGATGAATGTGAAGTACTGTGTATACATATCATGTAAATACTGTAACAATTGTTCACCGTGGCACACTTCGACCACGCCACGCAACTCTGTGTCAGCGAGGACGTCGGTACATCTGTCGTTCATGCACTCGTAGTCCACGAGCGGTGTCAGGAGCGGGTAGGTGGCATACAGGTTAAAGAATCTACCGCCACTGCGAGCACTAGCCTGCGTGCATATACGCATTTGGTTTGAGTGAGATGACGCTGAGCGGCGCAGCACCCACGAGCACAACTCCGGATTGTTGTTCCACATCGACAGTGCAACGCTTAGATTTTGTCCTCTGATAGCTCTGTATATCCTATCATCGGCAGAACTCGTCACGTAGACCAAGTCGCCGTCGAAGGACAACCAAAACGCTTGTATGTCACTATCCCGAGCACATTGGTGTACGCGCTGCTCGCATGTCGTGGTTTCAGGTACTTCGCCTGCCATCATGCACCGCGTCTTGGTCGATTAACGAATCGCTGTTTCTCACGGGAGATGAACAGCGAACTCGTTTTACAGAGACGCCAAAAAATAACCAACAATATCTAAAGTGTAATTTCACCGGCAACGTGAACTGTATTAATTTCACCGGCAACGTGAACTGTATTAGACGTGCTTTACTAGGACGTTCGATCTCCTGCTCTGTAAGACACAGGTTTCGACCGCGTGACTTTTTAGCAAAGAAAGCCCTATCGCAACAATCCTGGGACATGGCGGTATCTGTGTATCGCGTGCGCTTTCGTTCACGACCGAGGACGCCGAATGGTTAAAGCGTAGTCTTAGAGATTCTATCGAACCCACCACTTCGGTTCCCATCGGTGTGGCTGTGGACTGTGTTCGCATTCGACTAGCTAAGAAGAGCAATGACTGTAAACAACGCGAACAAATGGAACGATTGCGCGAGTACACGCGGTTGTTAACAGATCGAACTTCACAAGCCGCGTTGATAAAAGAGGTCGGAATAGATGGCGCTAGACGTAGAATACAAGCGTTGCGTCAAAAAAACGTGTCTCCCATCAACCCTGGGTCTGTTGTGAGTAGGTTCTGTAAGATGATCGAGCAGGTGTTTGAGTATTTCCGTGCTCGATCTATGAAAATGGAGCCCTTTCAGGTAGATCTCTTGCGCGGTGTGGTGTTAGGCGTAACAACAAATCAGTTCTGCGATGATCTCTACAAACACAAGCACACTTTTTCGCTCCCTCCGGTTAATAGACTCACGGTTCTTCATTCACTGATGGATTTATTCCTCCTTCACACTTCTCTTCCAAAACACCATTAATCGACCGTCAAACTGTCATTACACCAAAGTACAGAATAACCAAACAAATATTACAAATAAACATTAACCCAAGTTAACAAATACGCTATAAATAAACACAGTTAACGTACCTCGCTGGCTGCACGTAACCATAAGGGAGTGAATCCGCTTCAGGAACAAAACTTAACAAAAGTAATTCGCTGGTTTCTTCTTCGTCTTCTCTATAGTTTACCCGGTACCACTTTACAATAAGGCTCCCTTATAAATGGCTAATAAATGGTTTATAAATGTATTATTAATCCATCTATAATGCCTTATATATGACTAATTAATGTTTATTATGCATTAATTAAGGGTGAGAAAGAGACTAAACCTACTAGTTTTTTGCCAAATAGTGAACCAAATCTGTTGACTTATGTACTTTATCTAGACTTCATATATTAAACATTTCAAACTAAGAACCTATCTTTTAAGCACTATTAGCATTTGTAAACACAGTTTTGGGCAAATAATTAATGTACCTTATAACTGCATTATAAATACTTACAATGATTAAAGGGAGCGCTATTGTAAAGTGTAAAACATGTCTTTATTTATTAATGATTAATTAACATTTATAAATACAAACTGGAGCCTTCTTATAAAGTGTAAAACATGTCTTTATTTATTAATGATTATTAATGATTAATAAACATTTATAAATACAAACTGGAGCCTTATTGTAAAGTGTAAAACATGTCTTTATTTATTAATGATTAATAAACATTTATAAATACAAAAGGGAGCCTTATTATAAAGTGCAAAGCATGTTTTTATTTATTAATGATTAATAAACATTTGTAAATACAAACTGGAGCCTTATTGTAAAGTGTAAAACATGTTTTTATTTATTAATGATTAATAAACATTTATAAATACAAACTGGAGCCTTATTGTAAAGTATAAAACATATCTTTATTTATTAATGACTAATAAACATTTATAAATACCAAAAATTAGTCTTAAATGTTTAAATTTGTTAAACTTCAGAGTTACACTAAATGCTTAAAATATTTGTACAAACTATGTTAACTACTGTCAAAAATGGTCATGTATTGTAAGTGTAGCACATTTAACATCCAAACTCATCAAACACACCAAATACCCCCTCCCTAAAAAAAACTGTTGTAGAAGAGATTCAGGTTAAACTGGGAATGATTTCCATATGTCCTTGAATAAGCGTCCCAGTGGTCCATCAGGATGTTTTGAACCAAGCCGAGATGACCATTCGAGAACTTTAAGATGTTCCTCCAACAACATCTCTGTACGATTTCCTCTTAGTCTGCGAATATGTCCTTTAATTGTCATCCAAGCTCTTTCAATATGTTGTGTATGACTGCCCGAGTGAGGATCAACAAACCACCTGCTGTGATTTACTGTGTAATGTTTGTACCCCATGTTTGTCAAGACATTCTTGTAGGCTCTCCACTCATCACTGATAATGGCACTACCCGACTTAACATGCTGTCTGATCAGAGGAACAAGGTGACGCCTCGTTCGTTTCTCTACAAGTTTTAACACGAGCCTTCGCCTTTTGTCTTTCACTCCCATCAGTCCAAAGACCCATTTCTTTCTTTTCCAAGCATTTCCGAAGCGTCCACGTGCATACTGAAAATAAAAAAAGATTAAGGTTAAACAGAATATTTACAAAGTATATTCTTAAATGCAGTTTGCATCTTAACATTTTAATTGTATTGCTGTTATTAAAGTAAATTGTATTTTAACTTTATTAACAGCATGACAAAGATGTTGAATAAAAAAGCTGTTTTCTGTCATTCATTTCCTTTATGGATTAATTGACTACTTTTACAAACTTTAATTTTGTTAAATTCTGACTCAAGTGATTCAAATCATCATAGTAATTGATATAATAATATGTTTATTAACAGATTGTTTTTGTTTGGTTGTAACAGTTTTACTATATTGATTCTTAAATGTAATGGTAAAAACTTAAAACTTATATGTTTAGGGGACATGTTCAGATCTGGACTGATAATAACAAAGGGGTCTGAGAGTTTACAACCTTTCGCTGATGACGGAGACAGCTTTCATCCATAACCACAAATTCTTTGTGACCACCAAGACAGTGCCCTTTATTTACTCCATGTCTTTCCATTGCACTGATGCAGACTTGTCGAATACGCTTTGCCATGGCACTTAATGTTTTGGAGCTGCCAGCCACATCATCATCAATCATATCTATCTGCCTGAGCCTGAGCCCTTGTGAAAATCTGCGACAGAAATGAAAACCAATCAAAACTCACTGAGGCCCTATTATTAACTGCTATTCCTGTTGACATTCATACACACAGGCTACCTGTAGATGAACTTCATCCAACTGAAAAGAGAAGATTTTGATTTCTCAAAGAGGGAGCCAGTTCTAATTGTTCTGGAGACTTTTCTATGACTTGCTCTTTTGCAGCACCTGAGAACAAACCAAAAAGTGAGGTAAATAAATGAACCTATAAACATTATCACAAAATTAAATTAAAAAATAAATAAATATTGAGATAAAGTTAGCACTGTGTCTTGCTTTTAAAATTTGAAGGGCTGTTGCTCTATCCCCGACCTTCCTGAATGAGCCGAAAGCCACGCCTCCTAACGTGCACATGCAGGGAAAGCCGAGTCAAGTGAGAGAACATCTGAAATGCAGTGCTATTAGCCAGTGTGGTAGGCTTGCAGAAATTATTAGTTTAGCTGTAAAGCCAGGGGAGGGACTTAGGAGAAAAATAAAATATGAAAGATCACACTTTTTCTCATAGAACAAGGTCAGATGGTCAAAATTATTTTAACAATTCCAACTTACGTACCCTGCCTTTAATATCAGAATGTGATGTTAAATGTTCTACATTATCATGCATTCATACCACATAAATTGGTCTTTCTTCACCACAGATATCATTTTCATCTTATGGTGGCAAACAGGGCATCTCAGCTTCTTCTTTAGAAGGTGTTTCTTTTGCAGCCATTTAATCAGCCTCAGAGTCTTCTTTTTAGTTTGTTTTCCCTCTGTATGAGTGCACAACTTCATCCCAAGAGGCATTCTAGTAGGAAAAATTATATATTTATTTAATTATATTATTACATTGAAATACTGGTATCTTCAGAATGTCATAGGTAAAAAAAGGTCACTGATATAGCAACAGATCAAGTCTTTGTATAATTCTCGAAGCATTCTTTGAAAAGTCAAGGAAAAATGTAAAACCATTAATTTGACCAAAAAATTCAACACACAAAAAAAAAATCAAGATATAAACATTTCTAGTTCCAGTTTATTTTACTTACTTAAAAAACACAGCACATACAGTTACAAACTGTATTGCCTCTGCAATCTATTTGTGTTGTTTTTTTTTTCTTTTTACAATACACAGCTCAACAGGAAGTAACACTTGCTAAATAAAAACCTGAATTTATAATTATGTTGACTTACTAAGAATGACCAAAAAAAGAAAGATAAATGGGTTTTTAATAAATATGTTAATTATCATTATTTTTGACTACTCTTCCCTGCAAGTGAACTTGTAAATGCTGATAATTTTCAAAGAAAAATGTAAAAATGGCTAACACAACAGGAACAAGAATATTTAGTTAAGTTAATACAAAACATGCTACATTTACACAAAACATTTTCATTCTTAAAAATGATTTTTCTTCATCAGCTAAAGTAATATTTAAAAGTGAATTATAATTAAAAGAACAACCCTGCATACAAAAAATAAAACAATTTGCTCACCTCTTATAGTGCATTGGACTCAGTTATGAAGCGTTTCCCGCTGGATTTTTAGGTTGCATATGAAAACTAGCCATCGTCGCGCCAAAGGGAATAAAACGAAAATTAGCCATACAGAGTTGAGCTTAGTGCAAACATCCAATCACAGTGAATCTTAATACGGAAGTCCCTCCCATCGGTGTGCGTCGGAGCTGAGGTGGATCCACCAGTCAAACCGACACGGACTGACGCTAGCTAGCTACGGCAGCGCCATGGATGGACCTGAAGAGAAAGATTCCTGTTCCACTGCGACACCTGCGGTCAGCACGCGTTCAAAGAAAAACAAAAAGCAGCGACTGGATAACGTTAACACTAAACCAACGCTGTCAACAGAGAAACGTGATGGTGAGGAATGTTTTAATGCTAACAATGAACCATTTGGCTGCTACAGTGCCTAGCTATCTCTGGTACTATTAATTATTACGAAAGTGAAACCTCACAAAGTTTTATATTTTTTAATAGTTAGTAAATGTATATACATTTATATCATTATGAATAACCCCAGTGTGGTAACATGGAGGAATAATTTATTTTGTTCTGGAAGTGTCTGCTCTACAACAGGTGTTTGTCTCAGAACTTTTTTTACATTTGTATTGTTACCATTTAAAGTAGATATTTTTGTTTCTGCTGTCATTGAGTTTGCCTAGTTTAGATTAGAGATTCTGCTACTGTTGTTAATGTGTGTCTAAATTTTGTTTTTTTTAGATACTTCTTCTGGCCTTGCCCCTACTGCAACTGTGCTTCTTAATAAGGAGAGACAGGAAGTTGCGTTTCTTAAGGAGAAGCTGGAGTGGCAAAAGATGAGAATTGAAGAACTGAAAGGAGAGAGGGATTTCCTCCGAAGTCAGCTATCATCTCTGTCAAGTATGACATTAAACTAGTTTCATAAACATTGTTTAATTTTAGATTATTGTGATAAAAATCAGATAATTTATAAATATACATGAAGATCCCTTATTGTCACTGTGTTGTCTTTGGTGTTATGCCAGTTAACTCTTAAAAATAACTTGTTCTAATTGGGTTTAAACCTATTGATTAATTAATTGGCATGTATTATGCCATTACCTATTATCTGTTTTCTTACAGTTGTCTGTGCTCTCACGAATAAATACATTTTCATTTACATACTTTAATAATTAATTTAAAATACACATTTCGACATCAAAGTGTTCATTTAGATGGTTTGTAGTTGTGCCACTTTATCTCTTAGTACCAGCAACTTAGTTTTCCCCTTTTTCTCCTTTAAACACCACGGTAATAGGTAATTACTGCCAATTATTGACATTTAATGTTGTATTGGACAACAACACTCAGTCATTATACTGTTTTATTATTCTATAGTCTACAAAAATTAGATTTGCCCAGCCACATGTATATTATTTCACTCAGAAGGGTGCATCATTCTCATTCTGTCAAAGCACATAAGCTGACAAAATCATCCATTGTGTAATGAAATGAAATTGGCAGCTACTTTGCATGTTTGTTTCACTCTGTGTTACCTGATATGTGTTAAAAAAATTCTAAATTCATCCATTTTTTTTCTGCAGCGCAACCTAAAGACGAACCATTAAATGATACGTTTATCAACAATCCTTCTGAAAACTTGGATTCATCTTCCACATCTTCATCTGCATCATCTGAGTGGTCATCCTCATCCTCATCTTCACCCCCAAAGAAGCAAAAGCGCAAATTCAAAAACAAGCATTCAAAAGCCAAGAAATACAAGAAGGAGGAAAAGAAGTTCCGGCAGCGTGGTGAGCAAAATACTTATATTCAGAAGATATGTAGCCTGGCCTGCCAGACTCCTCCTCTGTTGAATTCTGCACAGAGAAAGAGTCTGGTAACTCTCCTATGTAAATAACCCCACCCAAATGAAAATGCTAACCAAACCAATCATCACTGAGCAGCGTATGTCACACACACAGTGAAGCTCAAATTCTCATAAACAATTATGTCTGAAGCGGAGTTCACCGCGGCTCTTTCCTCTGTTGTAAATGACTTGGACATGTCTTTGAAACCACAACAAGAACCGCTAAAAATCTTTCTTCTAAAGAAAGATGTTTGCGCCATTACCAGGCTCCATTTTTTACTACAGCTAAAAAAACTACTGCGTCACATGGTACAGTTGGCATTTCCACTTTTTTTTTTTTTGATTGGTCATTTTTGAGCTGGCTAATCCCGCCCCTCATGTGCCTCTCTGCCTGTGAGTTACCAGACTCTCTGTGCAGAAGTCTAGTCTGGCAGGCCAGGCTAGAAGATATGTTCTTTGGAGATAAAATTACCATTTAAACATTTTCTTCAAACTACATTGTATTTGACACCAAACTTGAATATAAGGTTTGGACTGATGCGCATTTTTAGAAATGCATACACACACACACACACACGTATATGCATGTGTGTGTGTAAATTATAGTAACAGATTGTATTGTGTGCCATGAGCATTTGTTTCTAACAGTTTTCTTTGTTTTAATTTGATTCTCAGTCCGAACACCAAGTGAGATTGTGCAGAGATACAAGTCCCTCCTCAAGACATTTCCAAAGATGAAGACCTTGTCCAAAGCTTTTCAGAAGCATGGGATTGACAGAAACACAGTTGTGTCCACGGCATCAGTTGCTGAGCTCGCTATCGCAGCTCCTCTTGTTTACCAGGAGCTGATCTCCAACAAGCCCAGTGGAGAGACGGTACTCCATTTTGCTAAGCGATGTGAGGAAGAGATTCAAAGCAATGATGAAGTGAAAAACAAAATAGAAAGCATGAAGGCTGATGGATCTTTGCTTCCAATTCGAAGAGGCAAGTCTGTCTGAAAGCCTACTCAGTTATCTGACTTGTTCTGTTTCAGCATATTTAGCTATAGAACAGATGTGTGTGAAACTGGTAATTTTTTAACGATCTGTTCAGTTATGTGTTCAGTTTCCACACAACAAAGATTTTTTTTGTCATTTTTGTTTAGAAGGTTTTGTGTGTTCTAAGTGTAACCAAAACAACTGCACATGTTAAGATAGAGTATTGTCTAATGTTATAAGGCAGCTTGTTATACTTTTCATAGTAAGGCCCCTAGTCTTCAAAAAGTTTACTGGTTATAAATAATTGTTAACTAGTTTCATACTAAAAAAGTTTCATTTTACATTTAAAAATGTTTAAGAGTCATTAATAAACACTGATATGTTTTATACTTTACAATAAGGCTCCCTTTTGTAATTATAAATGTTTATTAACTATTAATAAATAAAGACATATTTTACACTTTACAATAAGGCTCCAGTTTGTATTTATAAATGTTTATTAATCATTAATAAATAAAGACATGTTTTATACTTTACAATAAGGCTCCCTTTTGTAATTATAAATGTTTATTAACTATTAATAAATAAAGACATATTTTACACTTTACAATAAGGCTCCAGTTTGTATTTATAAATGTTTATTAATCATTAATAAATAAAGACATGTTTTACACTTTACAATAAGGCTCCAGTTTGTATTTATAAATGTTTATTAATCATTAATAAATAAAGACATGTTTTACACTTTACAATAAGGCTCCAGTTTGTATTTATAAATGTTTATTAATCATTAATAAATAAAGACACGTTTTACACTTTACAATAAGGCTCCAGTTTGTATTTATAAATGTTTATTAACTATTAATGAATAAAGACATATTTTACACTTTACAATAAGCCTCCCTTTAATCATTGTATTTATAATGCAGTTATAAGGTACATTATTAGTTGCCCAAAACCTTGTTTACAAATGCTAATAGTGCTTAAAAGGTAGTTTCTTAGTTTGAAATGTTTAATATATGAAGTCTAGATAAAGTACATAAGTCAACAGATTTGGTTCACTATTTGGCAAGAAACTAGTAAGTTTAGTGTATTTTTCACCCTTAATTAATGCATAATAAATGTTTATTAGTCATATATAAGGCATTATAGATTGATTAATAAGACATTTATAAACCATTTATTAGCCATTTATAAGGGAGCCTTATTGTAAAGTGGTACCCATTCCTTTTTGTGGTTGTAGGGGCTTTTGGTTGGAGTACATTAAAACAAACCTGATCTCTCTAGGACATTCAGAAGCCAAGTTATAAGCCCACAAATGTGTAACTGGACAACTTTAAATTGACACCAGATCCGGTGACCTTTGGGACATGGTTTGACCCCCTTAGGAAAGTGTGATCATCTTGAAACGTTCAGATCACTTACAACTCAATAGATTCTACCTTCTTGTAACGTTTCAGCCTGATTGGACCTTGTTTTCACACAAATGGACCCAGAATGATGTGAAATTGTGCTTCGTGCAACATAATTCTGGGTGCCATTTAAAAACCATAAGTGCTAATGACTCCATTCCTTTTTGTGTTTGTAGGGGCTGTTCATTGGAGTATACTAAAACAAACCTGATCCCTCTAGGACATTCAGAAGCCAAGTTATAAGCCCACAAATGTGTAACTGGACTACTTCTTTAAAGTGACACCAGGCCCGGTGACCTTTGGGACATGGTTTTACCCCCTTAGGAAAGTGCTATCATCATGAAACGTTCAGATCACTTACAACTCAATAGATTCTACCTTCTTGTAACGTTTCAGCCTGATTGGACCTTGTTTTCACACAAATGAACCCAGAATGATGTGAAATTGTGCTTCGTGCAACATAATTCTGGGTGCCATTTAAAAACCATAGGTGCTAATGACTCCATTCCTTTTAGTGGTAATGGGGGCTGTTAATTGGAGTACTCTAAAACAAACCTGACCTCTCTAGGATAATCAGAAGCCAAGTTATAAGCCCACAAAGGTGTAACTGGACTACTTCTTTAAAGTGACACCAGGCCCGGTGACCTTTGGGACATGGTTTGACCCTCTATAGGAATGAGCAATCATCATGAAACGTTCAGATCACTTACAACTCAATAGATTCTACCTTCTTGTAACGTTTCAGCCTGATTGGACCTTGTTTTCACACAAATGGACCCAGAATGATGTGAAATTGTGCTTCGTGCAACATAATTCTGGGTGCCATTTACAAACCATAAGTGCTAATGACTCCATTCCTTTTTGTGGTTGTAGGGGCTGTTGATTGGAGTACACTAAAGCAAACCTGATCTCTCTAGGACATTCAGAAGCCAAGTTATAAGCCCACAAAGGTGTAACTGGACTACTTCTTTAAAGTGACACCAGGCCAGGTGACCTTTGGGAAATGGTTTGACCCCCTATAGGAATGTGCGATCATCTTGAAACGTTCAGATCACTTACAACTCAATAGATTCTACCTTCTTGTAACGTTTCAGCCTGATTGGACCTTGTTTTCACACAAATGGAAGCAGAATGATGTGAAATTGTGCTTCGTGCAACATAATTCTGGGTGCCATTTAAAAACCATAAGTGCTAATGACTCCATTCCTTTTGTGGTTGTCGGGGCTGTTGGTTGGAGTACATTAAAACAAACCTGATCTCTCTAGGACATTCAGAAGCCAAGTTATAAGCCCACAAATGTGTAACTGGACTACCTCTTTAAATTGACACCAGATCCGGTGACCTTTGGGACATGGTTTGACCCCCTTAGGAAAGTGTGATCATCTTGAAACGTTCAGATCTCTTACAACTGAATAGATTCTACCTTCTTGTAACGTTTCAGCCTGATTGGACCTTGTTTTCACACAAATGGACCCAGAATGATGTGAAATTGTGCTTCGTGCAACATAATTCTGGGTGCCATTTAAAAACCATAAGTGCTAATGACTCCATTCCTTTTTGTGTTTGTAGGGGCTGTTCATTGGAGTATACTAAAACAAACCTGATCCCTCTAGGACATTCAGAAGCCAAGTTATAAGCCCACAAATGTGTAACTGGACTACTTCTTTAAATTGACACCAGATCCGGTGACCTTTGGGACATGGTTTGACCCCCTTAGGAAAGTGCTATCATCTTGAAACGTTCAGATCACTTACAACTCAATAGATTCTACCTTCCTGTAACATTTCAGCCTGATTGGACCTTGTTTTCACACAAATGGACCCAGAATGATGTGAAATTGTGCTTCGTGCAACATAATTCTGGGTGCCATTTACAAACCATAAGTGCTAATGACTCCATTCCTTTTCGTAGTTGTAGGGGCTGTTGATTGGAGTACATTAAAACAAACCTGATCTCTCTAGGACATTCAGAAGCAGAGTTATAAGCCCACAAATGTGTAACTGGACTACTTCTTTAAAGTGACACCAGGCCCGGTGACCTTTGGGACATGGTTTTACCCCCTATAGGAATGTGCGATCATCATGAAACGTTCAGATCACTTACAACTCAATAGATTCTACCTTCTTGTAACGTTTCAGCCTGATTGGACCTTGTTTTCACACAAATGAATCCAGAATGATGTGAAATTGTGCTTCGTGCAACATAATTCTGGGTGCCATTTAAAAACCATAGGTGCTAATGACTCCATTCCCTTTAGTGGTAATGGGGGCTGTTAATTGGAGTACTCTAAAACAAACCTGACCTCTCTAGGATAATCAGAAGCCAAGTTATAAGCCCACAAAGGTGTAACTGGACTACTTCTTTAAAGTGACACCAGGCCCGGTGACCTTTGGGACATGGTTTGACCCTCTATAGGAATGAGCGATCATCATGAAACGTTCAGATCACTTACAACTCAATAGATTCTACCTTCTTGTAACGTTTCAGCCTGATTGGACCTTGTTTTCACACAAATGGACCCAGAATGATGTGAAATTGTGCTTCGTGCAACATAATTCTGGGTGCCATTTACAAACCATAAGTGCTAATGACTCCATTCCTTTTTGTGGTTGTAGGGGCTGTTGATTGGAGTACACTAAAGCAAACCTGATCTCTCTAGGACATTCAGAAGCCAAGTTATAAGCCCACAAAGGTGTAACTGGACTACTTCTTTAAAGTGACACCAGGCCAGGTGACCTTTGGGAAATGGTTTGACCCCCTATAGGAATGTGCGATCATCTTGAAACGTTCAGATCACTTACAACTCAATAGATTCTACCTTCTTGTAACGTTTCAGCCTGATTGGACCTTGTTTTCACACAAATGGAAGCAGAATGATGTGAAATTGTGCTTCGTGCAACATAATTCTGGGTGCCATTTAAAAACCATAAGTGCTAATGACTCCATTCCTTTTGTGGTTGTCGGGGCTGTTGGTTGGAGTACATTAAAACAAACCTGATCTCTCTAGGACATTCAGAAGCCAAGTTATAAGCCCACAAATGTGTAACTGGACTACCTCTTTAAATTGACACCAGATCCGGTGACCTTTGGGACATGGTTTGACCCCCTTAGGAAAGTGTGATCATCTTGAAACGTTCAGATCTCTTACAACTGAATAGATTCTACCTTCTTGTAACGTTTCAGCCTGATTGGACCTTGTTTTCACACAAATGGACCCAGAATGATGTGAAATTGTGCTTCGTGCAACATAATTCTGGGTAACATTTAAAAACCATAAGTGCTAATGACTCCATTCCTTTTTGGGGTAATGTGGCTGTTGATTGGAGTACACTAAAACAAACCTGACTTCTCTAGGACATTCAGAAGCCAAGTTATAAGCCCACAAAGGAGTAACTGGACTACTTCTTTAAAGTGACACCAGGCCCGGTGACCTTTGGGACATGGTTTGACCCCCTATAGGAATGTGCGATCATCTTGAAACGTTCAGATCACTTACAACTCAATAGATTCTACCTTCTTGTAACGTTTCAGCCTGATTGGACCTTGTTTTCACACAAATGGACCCAGAATGATGTGAAATTGTGCTTCGTGCAACATAATTCTGGGTGCCATTAACAAACCATAAGTGCTAATGACTCCATTCCTTTTTGTGGTTGTAGGGGCTTTTGGTTGGAGTACATTAAAACAAACCTGATCTCTCTAGGACATTCAGAAGCCAAGTTATAAGCCCACAAATGTGTAACTGGACAACTTTAAATTGACACCAGATCCGGTGACCTTTGGGACATGGTTTGACCCCCTTAGGAAAGTGTGATCATCTTGAAACGTTCAGATCACTTACAACTCAATAGATTCTACCTTCTTGTAACGTTTCAGCCTGATTGGACCTTGTTTTCACACAAATGGACCCAGAATGATGTGAAATTGTGCTTCGTGCAACATAATTCTGGGTGCCATTTAAAAACCATAAGTGCTAATGACTCCATTCCTTTTTGTGTTTGTAGGGGCTGTTCATTGGAGTATACTAAAACAAACCTGATCCCTCTAGGACATTCAGAAGCCAAATTATAAGCCCACAAATGTGTAACTGGACTACTTCTTTAAATTGACACCAGATCCGGTGACCTTTGGGACATGGTTTGACCCCCTTAGGAAAGTGCTATCATCTTGAAACG